CCCTAAAGCATTAAGAAGTAATACTCTTTTAATAGAGGAACTTCTGAAATCCGCCTTCTGCTTCTATTTTTGGACATGGCTTTCTTTGAACTCACTGCTGAGGAAACAATGGATCAGTTATGGCTCCTCCTCTGCCCAGTGTCGTCTTGATTCCCATTTCCATGTCTTGTTTTTCCCGTTTCTTCTGCCCAGAAATGCCCTGAATGCCATTTTCACTTGACAAAATGTGACCTAAATCTCCTTCCAGGAGTGTGTTTGGTGTCCCCAGGACCACCCCCACTTTCAGAGATTGGCTGGAAAGACTCTCGGGAGTCAGCACAGAGGTGTACTTACCGGGAAGAGGTAGGGGGACAGTGATGTCGTGAAGAAATGGGGCTGGATCATAGGCAAAGGAGGCACAGTGTCTGGAGGAGCCATGTGGTGGTTTTCTCCTGCTCCCTCCATCCCGTGGGGTGTCCTCTTTGTCCAGGAAGGAGATGCCACAGCATGTGTGCAATGTTTCCTGCCCAGGGAGGCACACTGGAGAGCCGGCTGCGGCCTGGTCACGCGGGCACCCTCTGCCTAGCAGGTAGGAACTCCAGACTTCCAGAAGGAAGGAAGGTGTGTAGCATAAAGCGTATTGGCCGCACGGTGAATCTATCAGTTGACTGCTGCCTGCGGCCAGGTTTCCAGACACCAGCCACGGGCCAAGAGCTCAAGCAGGTCCTTCCAAAGATAGCAGGCTCAGGCCTGCTATGGTAACCTTTTATTTTTCTTCCTGCACAAGAAGTAGCCCCCTAAGGAATCTGTCTCTGATTCCTGGAGAGGTGGCTGCCGATCTTCAGTGATATGGACGTGCACATCTACCTAGTGTTTCCTACTTTACCAATATATTTAGCTCCTCTCCCATATCATCAGGGATGAAACATGAAACTCCCTACATGAAACTTAGGAAGTAGTAGGCACTTAGAAAAAGCTTGTTGAGAATTAAATAATGAATCACCAAGTCCCTTTTCTTTAAGGTTTAAAGTCGATGTGGCTCTCCCTCTTTCCCATCTTTTTTTTCTCTTTCTTTCCTGAACAATTTATTCCTACTTTAAGTAAGGCTGAGCTAAGCATGTGTCCCCATGGGAGGTGGAAAGGAGGCGGGCTGAGCTGTGGTGGACCAAGCAGGGTGTCAGAGCTGTGCGGAGGGAGGAGGGATTCCACAGGGCAGGAATAGGACAGCCCTATTGTTGGCGTGTTGGAGACCAAGTGGGGAGGCGACCCAGTACGTGCCAGAACCTGGAGGGGGTGACAGAGGCAGCCACACAAATGGAGGCCCAAGGCGGGATTTCGGTTCCTTGGTGGGAGGGGGTGGTGGCCACTGGGGGTGGCCATGGCAGCGGTGTCCCCCAGAAAGTATTGGAGGCCGAGTATAGGTAAGAGTGGCAGCCATAGGTGGTGAGCTGCATAAAAGAGCATCAATAAAATAAGTGAACATATGTAGGATAATGAGAAATAGGGCTCTCATTGTCAGAAAAGCACTACAGGGCGCCTGGGGGGCTCAGCGGTGTCTGCCTTCAGCTCAGGGCATGACCCTAGGGTCCTGGGATCAAGTCTTGCATCGGTCTCCCTGCTGGAGCCTGCTTCTCCCTCTGTCCCTCTGCCTGGGTCTCTCATGAACAAATAAATAAAATCTTTTTTTTTTTAAAGGAAAGGTACTACAACTATGGGGTAGGAATATCAGGGTCAACTCATGGTTCTTAAGATGGAGATGAGAGAGAGAGAGGAAATGTGACATTTCCTCACAGAGGGACAGAGATAGAAAGATATTTAAGTCAGATTTTTAGAATTTAATAGGCTACATGTATGTTGCCACTCTCTGGGGTCCTAATATATGAGCACAAGACAATTTTAAATATTTCAAAATATTTTAACCAGCTAGTCCACTGGTTGTTTTGATGAAAATATATTCCTTTATTAGGCGGGAAGAAGCTCTGGAGTAGAGAGTGTGAGAGCCCGTGAAGTGCATCATCGCGCCACCTCTAACAGGCCCTCGGACATCTTCATTTCCCCCTTTTCAAGATTCTTTTACGGCATCTAAGAGAAGAAGGAGATGTGAAGAAGTGAATTGCAGGTCGAGAACAGGACACAAATGTCCAAATGTTTAATGTCAAAAAAGTAGACTTCCAGGAGGGGTGGAGCTGTAGCCTCGGGAGTCCTGCGGGCATAGCGGCCCGCCACCTCTGTCCCCACTGGCCCATGGGGTCGGGGGGGTAGCAGCTGCTTGGGTTCTCCTGCATCTGACCCTTACTCTCTCCATCACTGGGCTCAAAATTGGTGTCTCCCCCCCCCCTTGTCCCCCTTACATTCCCATGTCAAGTAATCACACATACTACATTCTTTTTTTTTCCCTCACAAACTGTCTTATGTCCATCCTACATTTACTCTTGAAAACTACACCCTTTATTTGGAGTAGACATTTTTTTTTATCCTCTCAGGTTCTCGGCCTCCTCCCACATGCGACTATCATGAAACAAAGCAGATCTGTTTCCTCCTCTTGAAACCAGTTATAGAAATAGGGCCCAGTCTGAGGGAGGAGGAGCCGTGTCAGAACTTCCTTCTCCTCAAACTTCCCGATTTATTTTTCCATCACAAGCAACCCCTGCTTCCCACGCGGTAGCCTCCCCTCCCATCGTGTGTTGTCCCCGACTTGGCTTTTCATGTTACAAATGCTTGAAAAAGCTTGTGCATCATAAAATATTTCAAATACTCTTAACATGTTTATGCAATTCTTTATATCCCCTTCCTCCGGCGATTCTCTTTGCGAGGGTGGGAACCAAATTTCCAAATAATTTCTTTATGCAGAGTACAATTCGTGTTTCCCAGACAGAAATGCTGTAGAAAAATCCGACACATCTAGACTGAGACATCAAACGCGATTGCTTGGTGAGCATCCCAAGCCTCAAGCGTGTTGCTCTTCCCAAATCTATAAACCCAGGCTCCGCTGGAACGTCAGGGGGAGTTCTGGGCCACGCAGGTTTCCCACGAGAGGAGGAGGAAAAGGACTGCGACATAAATAAGTCGAACAAACTTTAATAAGCTCCCTCAATGAGTATCCACCTGGGGGACTGGAACAGCTGCAACGTGAAACCTGTTTAATAACCCTCCATTAAATAATTTTCTTTATTTAAATTAAAATCCAGCACAGGTTAAATTGTAAACAAGCAAGATTTACATAATATCAACGCCTAAAAAAGTGGGGGAGCGCAGGGATCCTCTATTAGCCAAACATCGTAAAGTATTACATTGTGCTGCTTTGCCTTGCACGCCACTATTTTGAGTGATTTATTAAAGCCAACTACATGATCGTGCGTAGAACTAATGAAGCAGATATACTTGTGTATCAAAGTGGCTTTGCTAGAGCATATCAAACAGTTTTAAAGAGAGTAAACAAGCAAATTAATTGCCAATTTTCTCACAGAATGTGGCTTCTTAATCGGTGAGAACTTTATAGACTTCCTCAAGATTTTCAATGACCGTAAACTATTGGGAGTAATTTATCTTCTTTGCCCACGTTAGGAACATCTGCAAAAATTTACTTTTCCGCAGTTTTAGAGAAAGAACGCTTTTATTTCTTGGGAACACTCGCTGCTTCTTCCAGGTTGTAGTCACAATTCTCCTGTTTTTACGGCACTGGAATTATTCCGTAGCAATTAATCCCAAAGTCCTAAGTATGAAAATGAGACCCAGAAGCAAATGTATATGTACCCTCTTACCTTCCCTCTTTTCCCATCCCTAACACACAAACGGTTTCTCAGGGTAAAGCTTTTGGGGAAAATAGTCTGAAATGAAACTCACAAGTAAGGTTACTTTTGGGTTAAGAGGTTTCCGTGCTCCCCTTTGCACCCCAGGGTCAAGATCCCCGAGGGCACGTCATGCTGGGCCACATGCACCTGCAAGGCGGTGCTTTGCACCTGGTAAGTGATTAACACCAGGGTTTTCCCTCTAATCCGTCCCCTGCCTTTTTAGATCATGGGAACGCCATGTGCACCACCGTCTGTCATTTCATGAATATTTTAACAACAAAAATATGTTCTTTATATTAAAAACAACCCCCACGCTTCTTCATAACAATCGCCATCCCATGAGGCGGAACGGAAGAAGCTGTAACCTGATGGTTAGATTTTTGTATCTCTGTGTGGGAACTTGGAAAGTCAAGTCCATTTCATATAAAATATAAAATATGTTTAAGATGTTCTGTATATGAGGAATAAAGTTTCTGAAAATGGGTTATTTTTAATAGGAGATGTTCAAGGTCCAAAACTTAAAAAGAGGAAGATCCTTTGAAGAGGACTTTGAAGAGCACTTTGCAGTATTAATAAAGGGGAAAAGGAAGTTAAAAAAGAAGTTAAGTGTAGGTTGCCAACCTATCTTTTTAATAGTGGTCCAAAAAAAGACACAGGGTCACCGCCCTTTCCCTGATGACCATATTCCAGGGATACTGTGAGGTATTTGAAATCTCAAGTATGTTTTAAGCATTTAACTAGCCCTTACCCATTCTGTGACTTTCTCATGTCCCCCCTACCTTACTGGTATGTCAGATTTTATTTTTATTTTCCTAGGGAACAAAATGAATTTAAAAGAAGACAGCTTTTTTTGTGTGTGTACTTTTTTGTGTACTTCTGATGACCAAAGGATTCAAACCAAACCAAAATTACCTTTGGATAAAGTACATTTACTGGCCTAACTCGGAATAATATGGAACCTAGAATGTGAATAAAATTTATATTTATTTCTATTTCTCTATGTTTCTCTGTTTACAATTTGTGATCAGATATTTTAGGGTAAAGATGTTGATTTTCTTTCCTGATATTTAACAAAACAAATTTCTTTTTAATTGCGAGAACTTAATCAAGATTTAATGCATAAGATTTTAGTTTCTGGCCAAAAATTTTGTTCATTTTACAAGTCGATTGAATTCTTTCTTAATGTAGGATTTTATTTCTTTAATAAAGATGATACTGTATTTTAAGGAACCTCATACAGGGTTATTAGGAAATAGATGAAAATGTTCAAAGGATATAAACTTCCAGTTATGAGGTATACAAATTATGGGGATGGAATACAAAGTAGGCTGTCTACAGTCAGCAACTTTCAAATATATAATACAGTGCTATTAAGAAAGTAGATCTCAAAATTCTCATCACAAGAAAAAATGTGTAATTATGTGTGGGGATGGGTTTTAACTAAATTTATTCCTTTAGCAATATATACATACGTCAAACCATTATTCTGTACACCTAAACAAATACAGTGTCATGTGTCAATTATACCTAAGTTAAAAAAAAGGTAAAAATAAAATAAAATAAGCTAATACAGACTCTTAGAAAGGCTTGTCTTGGAAGAGGTTCTAAGAACGTAGTCAGAAATACTAAAACTGTCTTATGTGAAATATGCCATTGAGTGAGACGTTAAAATGTATCTATCACTCTGGGCAGTTAGCGTAATTGGTTAAAATATGGAATGAGCAGATGCAGTACTCCCGTTTTCCATGACCACAGACGGATTCTCCTGCCCTGGCCAAAGACCTCTCAGAGATGTGCCACGGAGGCTGAATAACATAGTATGCACCTGCCTGCAGATTCATCACCAGCATGAAAACAGCAAACTGACAAAGACTCTGCTATTGCAGATGCTGGCGTGTTTACAGACCTAAAAGGATATGCGATTTAGGGTTAGAAGGCCTGGAAATGAGTTAGCTTTTGCCACTCAGGTATACGAAGTGATCTTGGAACATCATTTCACCTTCTTGAGCTTTGTTTCCTGTGGATAAAATAAACATAAGATTAACACCCCCGTCACAGGGCTTTCGGAGAACCGACTGTAGTGAGTATATCGAGAAAGCCCTTTTTATACAGCTATACAAATCCGGGTCATTTGTCTCATTGTTAAGGTGATTTGTTTTCCTTTGTACATCGTGGTAGAAAAAAATCAGCTCGATACTCTACGAGTCTTCTGGAGAGTTACAGAAATAATCTACAATGGGGAAAACGTGCCTACTAACTATCTAATAAGAGCATCCAGTCCTTTAAGAAATATTCACTTTATTTCTACTACATGCCAAGAACAATGGCAGATCCTGAGGATACAGAGATAAAAGACCACTGCCTTCTCTCAAAGAGGCTACAGTCTATTGGTGAAGACAAAGAAGGAAACACACAACATCTCTTCTAACCTATTACAGCCTCTGATAGAGCACGTGAGAAGGACATAATTTAGAAGAGATTAGGCAGAGGTTCCTAGAGATTGTGACAAGCTGAGTACTTGAGAGTTATGAGAAAGAGATGTGTGAACCAAGACCCCGGAAGCAAGATAAAACGCACCGAATTCTGAAAGCTAAAAATAGTTGAAGGAGATGGTGAAGTGCGCTAATATTATGACAGCATGAGATGAGGCTTAAAGGGTGGAGGAAATTGAGATCCTGAAGGGTTCAATATTCACTGCTGTGGACTAGTTTCTAAAAAAGATGCAACACTACTGAAAGGGGTAGTGATGTGATTTTAAGTGCATTTTTTTTAAAAAGCTCTAAATAAAAGGCATACAGATTGCAAAGGAAGAAATAAAACTGACATGATTCCCTACATAGAAAGCCCAAGAACTAATCCGTTCAACAGAATTGCAGGTACGTGATCAACTGAACCTCTCTATACTAACAACGGACATATAGAAACTGAGATTTTTAAAAAACATGCAATACCAGATATTTATAACTTCCCCAAAGAAAATGAAATACTTAGCATATATCTAATAAAATATATATGGGATCTGTATCTTGAAAATTGCAAAATGCTGATGGAAGAAAAAGGAGAGCTAAATAAATGGAGAGACATATGGCGATCGTGGATTGAAAGACTCCGCAGAGTAAACATGTCTCTCCCCCCAAATTAATTTACAGGTGGTCATGCAATGTGTATTTAAATCCCAGTGAGATGTTTTATAGACATGGAGAAGTTCATTCTAAAATGTAGAGAGAGGGGAGCCGGATCAGTCGGTTGAATGTTGACTCTTGATCTCAGCTCCACTCTTGATCTCGGGGTCCTGAGTTCAAGCTCCCCACCCACTTAAACAAAATAAATAAAATAAAACAAAATGTCCATAGACAGACAAGGACCTAGGAAAACTTCATCAGTTTTGGAAAAGAGTAATAAAGCGGAAGGAATAACTGTAGTCGATGTTAAGTGTTACTGTGCTTTAGTGAGGAGATAAGACAATATCCCTGGAACAATAAGAAAAGGACCTAAGAATAAACTACCAAAATACACCCAACTGATTTTTGACAAGGGTGCAAAAGCAATTCAACACCCGAGAGAGAGGATTGTCAACAAATGGTGCTGAGGCAACTGGATATCCATAGGCCAAAAAAATAAAAAGGACCTTGTCTAAATCTCAGACCTTATGCAAAAATTAGCTCAAAATAGATCATAGATGTATATATAAAATGTAATACCATAAAATATTTAGGGGGTAAAAAGGCAAAATCTTTGCCACAAAGGGTGAGGCAGAGTCATTAGATTTGACACCAACACCATGATCCATAAAAAAGGAAGAATGGACAATTTGGACTTCAATCTTTTTTTTTTTTTTTTTTTTTTTGCTTTGCAAAAACTCCTGTGAGGAGGATGAAAAGACAAGCTACAGATTTGTAAAAAATATTTGCAAGGGGCATATCTAACAAAGGACCATTATTTAGAATACATAAAGAGCTCTCCAAAGTCAGCAGTGAAAAAGCAAACAATTCAATTAAAAATGAGCAGACACAGATCATGCATTTGGTGAAGAATATACAGATGGTAAATATGTGCATAAAGATAAGTTCAACAAAATTAGCCATTAGGGAAATGCAAATGAAAACCACAATGAGATGTCACAACACGCCATCAGAAAGGCTGAAACAAAAAATAGTGAGAATGCCAAATGTTGGCAAGTATGCTGCGAAACCAGCTCGTTTAGAGTTTACCGGTGGGATTTACGGCCGCTCTGGAAAAGACTAGGGCAGCTCCTCACAAAACTAAACATCCACTTGTCATACGACCCAGCGGTTGTGCTCTTGGGCATTTATCCCAAAGAAGCAAAAATTCATGTTCACCCACTAACCTGTAACGAGAATGTTCACAGCAGCTTTATTCATAAAAGGCCCAAACTGGGATCTCTCCAGATGTCCTTCAGCAGGTGACTGCTTCATCAAAGTGTGGTATTAAGTCACCAATAAAAAGCAATGGACTCTCGATAATGTGGATAGACCTCACGTAATCCTACTGAGTAAAATAAGACAGTCTCAAAGTTTACATTGCACGATTCCTTCTATATAAATATTTTTGAATTGATAGACTATAAAGGAGAACAGATGAGTGGTTGACAAGGGACAGGGAAGGGAGGAGGGAGGGCAGCAGTTATGACTTTAAAAGGGGATCTTCGTGGTGAGAATCTATATATGTTTACGGGGACGGTGGTCACACAACCCTACGTGTGTGAGAAAATCAGAACGAAAGAGAAACATGCAAAAATCAGTGTATGTAACACTGGTGAAATCTGAATAAGGTCAGTGGGTTGCATCGGTGTCACTTTCCTGGTGGTGATACTGTACTGCAACACGCAAAATGTCACCTTTGGGGGAAAGCTAGGTCTTGGGTCTCTTATTTCTCACGATTGCGTTGACTCTATCATTATTTCAAAATAGTTTTTAAGACATCACCGTGGATGCAGCCTAAGGATAGATGGTAGCGAGCTTCTTGGATCATTGGATGAGCGTGTGGGTGTTTGGGGAGAGGAGGACGCGGTGGGCCTGGTCTGTGAACGACCACCGGCTTTCCTACATTGGGCTTTATCTATCAGGAGTGACAGCTGAGTAGGTGAAGAAGCGAGCTGATGAATTCAGTTTGCTCTTGCTGAGGTTATTTTCCATCAACCAAGCAGAGTTTGTAAAATGAGAACATAAGGAGGAAGAACGGAAACCCCTGGGCAAGAGAATTGGGAGTGAGACCGCTCGGCCGCATTTCGTATCCATACACTTCCTGTGGCATTTCCACGAAGGAGCAGATAGTTGAAATCTCAGAGTCCCCGGCGTACGGCAACAAGGGAACGCAGCAACGCCGGGGGGAGTCTCATAGAGAAGAACGTCTGCATTTCCATTTGGCCATGAAGTCAAAAGGAACTGAAACCGAGTCCCATTTGCGTGTACCAAGTTCTCCGTTGGAGTTTAGACGTATTATCCTGTTTAGGCCTCACGATAGGCCTAAAAAGTTTTAGTGTCTGCAACTTCGAAACAAAAGTTAAGTAGTTTGCCAGATGAAGCAAAAAGCCTATGAGCAATTTCTTGGAGTAGAGTTTGAATCTAAAGGGGTTTATTATCTTCTAAGCCCACAGTCTTTCTATCTGAGCGGGGAGCTTGTGGAGAGTGGGGAAGAACAGATCCCAAAGTCTTCTTAAAAATTGCAGATTTCCTATTCTTGCTTATTTAAGGGTTTTTGTGGACTCAAACACCTACGTTTATGTTTCTCAGTGTTCAGTTTCCTGCTCCATTTCAAGGCTCCATTTCGGTCGCCGGCCGGTCTTGAGGGGACGTCATGCGGGTTTGGCCTCCACTGAATGTTCATGGCTCTCCATTCTCTGGAGACACCTGTCACGCTGGCACCTTACTGTCTGCATTAGGAAGGGGTTAATTTTCTTATAATAGCTGTTAAATAGTCCCCTCTCTATTTTCCAGTTAACGTTTTCCCCGTGTTCGCAGGCCATATAGATCCATTAACAAGCATCTTTCCCCGCAGCTCATCCAAACGGATAAACAGCAGGTGTTTTCAGTTCTGCGTTTTCCAAACTTTCATGCTGCATTAGCTCTGACTTCATTAACTACTAACATGGGATTCCCTAAACCTCCACACCAGTAAACAAGTAAACAAAGAAATACCTTTCCCTCTCTACAAAAAAAATCCTACCTCCTCCCACCTCCCACCAAAAAAAAAAATAATAATAATAAAATAAAAATCCTGCCCCTTAGAAGGTTTTTCTCCTTCTCTGGTGGGTTTCTGTGTACTCCTTTGTTACTCTCCTTCTGGTTGAGGTGTTCCCTTTCAGGTCTTTAAGGTTAACCCATCCTGCCTAGGATCTCTAGGGCCTTAAAGTCAATTCAAAACCATAAACTAGGGCAGCCCCGGGTGGCTCAGCAGTTTAGCACAGCCTTCAGCCCAGGGCCTGATCCTGGAGACCCGCGTCAGGCTCCCTGCATGGAGCCTGCTTCTCCCTCTGCCCCTCTCTCTCTCCCTGTGTCTCTCATGAATAAATAAATAAAATCTTCAAAAAAAAAAAAACCTATAAACTATACATCACAGTCTACTTACTTTTCAAACTTCGAACACAGTAAGCTTTGGAAAGGTAACTTTTTGGTAAAAATGAGGCCTCTCCCCTTAGTCGATACAGATGAAGACTTAACTATTTCTAAAGACCTTTGTTATTCCTATTGTGCATAAGCGAAATTCAATTTTCAAACGCGTTTCCACAGGCAACTCTGCGCATCCCTGCCCTGGCCATGGGAATGCGGACTCCAGGCTGAGCTGCGTGTCCAGAGAAGTACTGAAAAGATGTTTGGAAAGCGGGGGGCGGGGGGGATCCAGGGTGTTTCTGCGGTCCGCGCTTCTGCTGGGTGGCCTCACCGGGATCCCCCACCTTCCCAAAGCGTCCAGACCTTAGGTGTGAATTCAACTTCTCTCCATTCCCGCCATCTAGTGGTTCTACGGGGTATGGGTTCGGCTTTAGGGAAGATGCTTAAAGACGGGGAGGGGGAGGGGCGGGGTGCTCGGAAAACCCAGCGGAGGGCCGCCGCGGGTCCCCAGTCGCTCGTCCCCCACCCCCCGTCCCCCTCGAGGGCTTTGCCCGAGGCGGGGATGCTCGGGGGATGCGCGGGGATGTGCGGGGGATGCGCGCGATGCGCGGGGATGCTCGGAGGGAGGGGGAGGGCCGCGCGCTCGCGGAGCCTCACGCCCCTTGACGTTGACATTTAGGAACAGGTTCTAAATCCTTCCTGTCGCCCCGAAGGGCGAGGAGAGGAGTTGTGGCGAGCCCCAGCCTCGGGGGCCCGGGGGCGCGGGGGCGCGGGGGCGGGGCGCATGCGGCTGCCTGACTTTTCCGCAAGTTGGACAGATGACCTCTTAGCTCCCGCAGCGTTCACATCTGGTTTGAACAAATAAAAAGCGAAGGAGAAAGACGGGGGTGGGGGTGGGAAGGCCCCTAAGAATTCGGGCGCGGGGCCCCGCGGGGCTCGCGGCCAGGAGCGCCCCGAGGAGCAGCGGCTCCTGCGCGCCCCGCTCCGGCCTCCCCCGCGGCCGCCCCCGTCTTCCCCTCGCTCGCCTCCCACCGGGTCCCGGGAGGCGGCGGCGAGGCGCGGGGCCCCTTCCTGCCCTCCGGGCGCCGAGCCTCCCTTTGTTCCTCGCGGGCTGCCGAGCTCCCCGGCGGGTCCGCCTGCGCCCACGGCGCGGGGGCGCGGGGGCGCGGCCGGGGCCGGCGGGGGGCGCCTTCCCGGACCTGCGCGGGGGGCGCGCGCGCCGCCCCTGATTTATCTCGTCCCCATCAGCGGCTCGGCCGAGCGAGCGGCGCGGCGCGGGGAGCGGGGGGAGATGCGGGATCACCCACCGGCGGGGGAGCAGCCGGCCGCCCTCCCGCGCCCCCGCGCCGCCGGGCGCCTCCTGCCTCTGCGCTCCCGCGGCTGCCCGCGCCCGCCCCGGCCCCGGCCCCGCCTCCGCCGCCTCCGCCTCCTCCGCCGCCCCCGCCTCCTCCGCCGCCGCCGCCGCCTCCGCCTCCGCCGCCGCCGCCCTCCCGGCCGCGCTCCCGGCCGCCCCGCAGCCCCGCGCGGGCCCCGGCCCCGGCCCCGGCGGCGGCGCAGTAAGTTGGCAGGCGCCGGTCCCCCCCGCGGCCGCCTCCCCCGCACCTTTCGAACTTGTTGCTGCCGCTCGGCTCGGCTCGCCTGCGCCCGGCTGGTGGAAGGTGAAAAGGCGGAGGGCGGCGCGGAGGGAGGGGTGGGGGCAGGGGGAGCGGCGCTCGGCGGAGCCGGCTCTCCGCGCCCCGGGCGCCGCGCACTCGGCGGCTCCGCGGCGGCCGGCCCGGCTCTTCCCGTTCCGGGTGCGCGGCGGCCGCGAAGTCTCCGCAACTCAGCCCCGCCGCGCGCTCGGCCAGGTGGGTGCCGCGAGCGGGGCGCCCTCCGCGCGGAGGCAGATGCTGCCGCGGCGGCTCCCGGGCTCTGTCCCCGCCTCGCCGCACCCGAGCCCAACTTGAAGCGGGAGTGAAGGGGCGACCGGGCGGACGCCGTGGGCCGCGCGACGGGCGCCCGTGGACGTGGCGGCGGGGGAAGCCGGCTCGGCGCGCCCCGCGCGGCGCCTCCATCTCCGCGGACGCGGCCCCGGGAGCCGAGGCGGCGAGCGGACTCCCGGGCGCGCGGCGGTGGGGGGGGGGGCGGGGACCGCACCGCGGAGGCGGCGACAAGAGGTCGCCCGTCTGGGGCTCCTTTGGCGGGAAGGGCCCCTCGGCGGGGGAGGCGTGCGGGAGCCGCGGGGCCGGGGGCGGGGGGGGGCCGCTCTAGAGCCCCCGGAGCTCTGCGCCTCGCGCCGGCCCTGCGTCCCCGCTGAGGCGCGCGGCGCCTGCACCTGCAGCTGCGCCCGCTCCTGCACCGGTACTTGCACCTGCACCTGCATGGGGACCTGCAGCTGCGCCCGCTCCTGCACCGGGACCCGCAGCTGCACCCGCTCCCGCACCCGCCAGGCGTGTCGGCGCGCACGTGGGACACCTGCTTGAAGCGATCGCTGCGTGTCCAGCCCCCGCCCCCGTCGCTGCCTCGGCCGCGGGACCTCGGCCCGGGCCCTGCCCCGCGTGACCCTCGCGCTCGCCCCGCCGGGGCCGCCTCCGTCGGGGCCATGGCGGCGGGCGTGGCGGCCTGGCTGCCCTTCGCGCGCGCCGCGGCCATCGGCTGGATGCCCGTGGCCTCGGGGCCCATGCCCGCGCCGCCGCGGCAGGAGCGCAAGCGGACTCAGGACGCCCTGATCGTGCTCAACGTGAGCGGCACCCGCTTCCAGACGTGGCAGGACACCCTGGAGCGCTCCCCGGACACGCTGCTGGGCAGCTCGGAGCGGGACTTCTTCTACCACCCCGAGAGCCAGCAGTACTTCTTCGACCGCGACCCCGACATCTTCCGGCACATCCTCAACTTCTACCGCACGGGGAAGCTGCACTACCCGCGCCACGAGTGCACCTCGGCCTACGACGAGGAGCTGGCCTTCTTCGGCCCCATCCCCGAGATCATCGGCGACTGCTGCTACGAGGAGTACAAGGACCGGCGGCGGGAGAACGCCGAGCGGCTGCAGGACGACGCGGACACGGACACGGGCGGGGAGCGCGCGCTGCCCAGCGTGACCGCGCGCCGGAGGGTGTGGCGCGCCTTCGAGAACCCGCACACCAGCACCATGGCGCTCGTCTTCTACTACGTGACCGGCTTCTTCATCGCCGTGTCGGTCATCGCCAACGTGGTGGAGACCGTGCCGTGCGGGGCCAGCCCGGGCCACGCCAAGGAGCTGCCGTGCGGGGAGCGCTACGCCGTGGCCTTCTTCTGCCTGGACGCCGCGTGCGTCATGATCTTCACCGTGGAGCACCTGCTGCGCCTGGCCGCCGCCCCCAGCCGCTACCGCTTGGTGCGCAGCGTCATGAGCATCATCGACGTGGTGGCCATCCTGCCCTACTACATCGGGCTGGTGATGACGGACAACGAGGACGTCAGCGGGGCCTTCGTCACGCTGCGGGTCTTCCGCGTCTTCCGCATCTTCAGGTTCTCCCGCCACTCGCAGGGCCTGCGCATCCTGGGGTACACGCTCAAGAGCTGCGCCTCCGAACTGGGCTTCCTGCTCTTCTCGCTCA